TATACTTTGTCAGTTTTTTTTTATGTTTTCAAAAATCCGTATGGCTACAAGTATTCCAAACCTACACTATCGTTAATCCATAGTGTCGGTCGTCGAACACAGAGAAGATTAATCCACGCTCGCAAATACTGACCCGTATCATGTACATGTTTTGAGTAGTACTGAAAACAGAGATAACCCAATAGTTGTCAAGGGAGAATTGGAAGTGAGGGCAAAGCCATACCGACAATGACGAGCAAATAAGCCGCACAATAGGCGTTGGTTTTGACGATGGCCCAGTTATCCATTGCACCGCATAAGAGCATTGATCAACGTGTAGGACGCGATCGAATAATTCCATGAAGCTAAATCATTTTTCCTTGTATACGACTTCGGATTTCGTGAACAGACGAGTATGAGTGGAGGTTGAAATGCAAGTAATCCCTCTTCAATTGGTTGAACTTACGCTTTATGTGAGCCAAAGGAGATAACTTTAGTATAGTGTTTCTGCATGAGCCTTGCCAGCAGTACGACGCATGCCGTTGAACAGCCTGCAGCAACTAAGTCGTTCATCAATGGCACACCTCGTTCCAAAAACACAGAAGGGCTGTAAAAGACGTAATTAAACACCAAGAAAAGTGACAGGCAATACTGCGTATGTACCTTTCAAGACAGCTCTGGTCGATGTAGATAAAAAAGGCCGATAGGTCATTTTGAGGAGTGACGTCGTTTTGCTAAACAAAGTTCTGATTAGGAGAGCACAGAATGAAACAGTTTTTCAATAGCAATCGAAAAACCCAGCAAACTTGGATGAAAAATAATTTTCCTTCTCGTAAACCTTTGAATCTTTCTTACCTTAGGATTGAGTTTTATTTTGATCAGTATATCCCAACAAAACTGGTTGAAGAGCTGCTCGTGATCAGCCATACGGCTCGCCAATTTCGAAATCTGTCTAATCGACTTTGCTATCATGCCATTTGAGTGCCCACAGTGGATCGAGTGCGCCTATAGCAGGAAAATTCTTCGAAACGAAAGCCTCTAAGAACCACTTGTGATACATGGCAAACACCGACTTTCATCACTGTATCTGCAGATATTTCATGCACGGCTGGATCTAGCCAAAGTTGATCGCCGGCCTCATTTGGGCCCCAGTGAAGGCTCGATAAAATACGACGTGCCATACGGTTGGCCGCATCGTCAGGTGGCTTAAAAAAACTTGTCGTTAGGCAATTTCTTAGAAGATGCTAAGGCTTACCTTGTTAATTGAGCCATTTTCCTAGGATGCTCAACATGGAAGGTGAGAGTTTGCAACCTGATAGATTTGAAGATGCCAAAACGTCAATAGCATACTGAAATGAACACAATACAATTCAATCGCACGCTAGATCAAGTGCATGTTCTTGAATAGGCCAAACAGCGCGCTGATCGAGAGACTAGCTGCTTCTAGGCGTCCATTTGCATAACTCGCCTCTGGATCCCTACTACGGGCAAAAACAATGAATACGCGAAGGACGCTAAGGGAAAAAGGCGAACGCTGAATACTCAAGAGACTCACGTTATCCATATGAGTCATACTTCTATCGAGCAGCGTCAGCAGTTGGTCGAAAGTAGATGGCCTACGGGCAATAAGCAATGATACTGGCTTCACTGCCAACTTTGTACAAACTCTCACGAGAAGTTTCATCACAGAAACAGACCTTTAACATTTCATTGAGCTGCCATTACAATATCAATGTAGTGTGAAACTCATTGGGAATTCCACGAATTACTGTGAAATGTGAAGAACTCTATGGAGGAACTTACCTCTATTATCTCCTTTACCAAATGCGAAGCATCGTTGTGAGAATACGATGAAAGCGCGGCAAGTGTGTTGATTAAGAAGACAGCATCCAATGGGCCTATGGCTTCGAGGCGCTCTTTAACACCACCTAAAATTTAGATTACCTATTGTTAAGTTTCTTTGATTCAAGACAATAAAACACATTCCTTTCAGCATAGTTTTCGGAGACCACTCTCATGGAATCAGTGAAGGTAAGAGGAACGCGTCCAAGTCAAATAGAAAGGTGGCTGGCACTTTTTCGGCACGACTAGGATACAGCTTTGGGACGAAGTTTTCCGTAATCACTCTGCGACTTGACACCCGAAAACAAGCTCCAAAGGCTTGACAAAACGGGGGCTAGAAACGTTGCGTTGAGTGACTTTGATCAACTCTATTTGCCATTACCATATAACCAATGCCCTAAGGTAGCCCCTCTAGTTGCGTGCACTCCCCCATTTTTTACCGTATCTCCACTGGATAAACGCTGCGTCTTTGATGAAGAGTTTTGTCTTTAGCATAGCACGCACGAACTACTTTCAGCACGAACGAAAAATAACGATGGATAGAACCTACCAATTTTGTTCCGAGCTAAAACTTCTGATATGGGTATATCGTAGATCTCAGACACTTTAACATGTTCGGTAGAACGTAGAAATATCAACAATCCGATTTCCCGAACATTCCCGCTACACAGTCATAGATGTAGATCGTACCAGAACTGGCCCATAGCACGCCCGAATTCTGCCACGAAATCTCACATAACCTGCAGGAAGAGTCATTCAATAATAAAGCCACGACAAAAGGTATGGCGAGTAAAAGTAATATCCGTCGGGGTGAAATCAACTTATCAATTCCACGCATTACAACCTCTAATTACGAAAAGTGGTGAAGATTCTCAACTCCTGGTCTCGTGGCGCCGATACTGAGCGCAAGTATGCACTATGACAGGGGGACCTCGACTTCTTTTTGAAGTTGAGAATCTTCACCACTTCGTAATAGATTACGCGTGATTGTCCAGTGGCTACACAGCTCACGAACGCTTTGCCTTGAAAATTACGATTAAAATGCAATGGTAAGTACGTTCACCATAGAAATCAAAAAACTGCAACGGTAAGCACTGTCTCTACCTCAAACAGATTCCCATTTGCTTCCAAAAGTTTTGTAAAGCCGTGGCGCACAGTATGTAGACAAGCCAGTATCAAGTACCTGTAAACGAAGTTCATCAAACAGTGAAATAAATTTGAAAAAAAGTGAAAAAAAAGAAAAAGTGGAAATTAAGAGTTTACCCACCTTCATCAGCAAAAGTTGAAATGCAATCAATGCGACGAACTGATCACTCTTGTCGGATGCTAAAACTCTAATATTGCGAATGGGGGATTTTTTCCCCCCCCCCCCCCCCTATTGCAGAAATTGGGATGACTTACTCGAACTCGAGAAGTAAAGGTAGGCTAGAGAGTAAAGCTCCGATATAGGAAGCTGATCGAGAAGCCCCGTAAGATCGGCCTCGTTGATTGTAACAAGAGAGAAGTCGCCCTTAATGATGCAGTATAACCAGATCACTTCGCAAGTAGATTACAGATAAGACGAATGAGATGAACCTCTTCCTCATCTCCACTCAAAATAGCCCAGGTCGAGTCTTCGCTTTCCGACAGGCCTATTTGACGGAGGAACGTTTCACGTGCACTGAAAGATACTTATCACTTCGACGAAACATTGAAAATGAACACACACACACAAACTCACGAGATAGGATTCATCAGATGAGAGAGCATCGTAACACAGTAGTCGACTTTTACTTTCGGTGGAGACGGAGCCTAAAATTCATAAGCTCAATGTAACATGGTTAAATGACTAAAAATGGTCAGATTTCCTTGCATCTACAAATCGACTACCTGAATAAATGTTTGTACAAAGGGAGCTGCCCACTCTACAATAGGAGAAGGAAGACGAAGAAGATGATTCAAAACAAACTGGGCGTCTTCACACCGGCATAACATATACAAGACGCATATCTAGAATGAAAACGACGTTTATGTGGACTATGGATAGAAACTGAAGAAGCTTACTAGTTCTTTAGCCCAGCCTGTCAAGGCATCAGTAAAGCGCTTGGCTAACGATGGGAACCTCAAGTGGAAAAATATGTCGGAGAGTGCATTCAACAATAAAACCCTTCCATTTGAGATGACAGCATTTTCCAACACTAAAAAAATCGGAATCTCGTAAGTGTTGGAGAAACAAATTGATTGAAAACTTATACTCACATGTGGGTGGACTCTGAAGAGACAATCCATTTTCTTCCATAAACTGCTGATTAATAGAGATTACAACCCATTGAACCTGAATAAAAGAATTACTTCACAAGTTTGTGTCACCTGCCAGTCTTCCCTTACTTGTAGCGCAGTTGCTCGAAATTGTGATTCTTGGCAGATGCGCTCGTCAAGCAGATGAGTTCTGTTGGCAGCAAGCAGATTCTTCAGCTCTTCCACTTTCTCCATACACAAGACCGACTTGTGGAATCGACCTGTTCCAGTGGCTTCCTTGTTTTCACCGCACTTGCCCTAAATAATCGCGAAATCGGGCCAAATCTTGCAACCTGATGTTATACAGAATACTTTTCAATAAAAAAACATAGCTAAAAGCTCACCTTGGACTCGAAAGTTTGCTGTTGCATAACCCAACAATCACGCAAGCATTTGGAAAGGCTCTCAGTATTTTCCTTTTCGCTAACTTCACTTATTGCCATTTGTTCACACAGTTTTTTCAGCCGCTTCAGAAGGGGGAAAAGTGGACCAGAGGATATCAGATTGTTCTAGAAATGCAGAGCATTATAGTATTCGCTTCTTTTGTTACAATGAAGGGATGGGAAATGAATCCTACGAAAGACCTGTATCAAAAAAGGATCACATGGGATAGAATATGGCAAAATAAACAAATGAAAGTAGCTCCAATTATACCTCCACAAACTTGTCCGTAAACTCTTCACTCATCATGTAGAGAGGATTGTGGTAGAACGCCAGCAAATTTTGCTCGGTGAGCAGTCCATGACAGTCTTTTTCATAGTGCGTTTTCGTCAAAGAC